TAAGTCTGAATGCTCACCAAAGCGGCCTATAGATCATTCCTCAAGTTGATTTCCCCTCGCTTTCCTCTCTCAATTCTGTCGAAATTGCCGAAATTAAACGAGCCGGATGTGTAGTCATCCGAGGAGTCGTTAACGAAGCTACTGCTGTTGGCTATAGGCAGAGTCTGAAAGAGTATGTGCAAGCAAATCCGAGTGTTCGAGGTTATCCCCCCGAAAAAAAGCAGTTCTTTGAACTCTAGTGAGCTTCATACCCTTCACTCTTCTCGATCTTGGCTTACAATATTGCAGTTGGTCTGAATCACAACTTCGAGCTCGATCTCATCCCAACGTTGTTGCTGCCTCGGCTTGGTTGAACACTCTTTTCCACGCGAGCGAAACCTCAGCCGTGAGCTTGTCTAGCACGCTCATGTACGCAGATCGCTTCCGTATGCGAGAACCGGGCGTCCTGTGGACGCTCCACTCCCCTCACATAGATGGTGACCTTTTTGCCACCAGTGTTTTGACCACACTTAACTTATTGCGCACAGGCGGGAGTATCGAACGGTGGGAAGACCCGGTGTTTAGGAAGTGCTTTGCGAGCATCCTTACCGGCGACTGGCCGGAATACGACCCATTTGACTTGACTTATCGACTAGAAGGCAACACAGATATGTACAAGCGTCCAAACCAGGTAAGTGATTCGGCCGATTGCCGAAATCCACTCTTTCTTATAGCATTTATCCTAGTCTTCGGTGTTTCGCACCTGGCAGGGATGGCTTGCAATGTCGTATGTACATCCATTTCCTTGGAGCGCGATGGTTTATCCTTGCGCAGATCCACGGCACCCGGGGAGGGCACTATACGGTTCTTCCCAGACCTTGTGTTATTGACCGCATACATCATACTCCGGCCATTCTTCAGACCAGTTGACAACAATTCTAGCAAGTGAGTGGTTTAGTCTGAGGTTATGTGTCGATTCGACTAGACCTTTGTTAGCCTTGATCCCTCCAACTGGGCTGTCGATGTGGAAAGTTCGCCCGATTTTCAAGGGGTCCACCGGGAGCTAGATGCTTACGGGAAAGAGATGTTCAGATCTGTGCAAGCCAGTCAGGAGTCGCACCCTCATCTCAAGGTCGACCAAACGATGACGAGCGCCCCAAAAGTAAATCCAGGTGACATGGTGTGTTCGTTCTTTATGGCGATGGCCGGTATCCGAGACAACCCCAATAGGTTTTCTGGCACTGTGATCTACTTCACTCCGTGGAGACCGAGCATAAAGGTACCGAGGTTTCTTCGGTGATGTACATCCCGGCTGTACCGTAAGCACGATCATTCGCACACCACTTGACTGATCCCTCATGCCTATATGCAGCTTGACCTTGCCGAACGCCGAATATGTTGCCAGGCAGAGAGAGGCGTTCCTAGCTGGCAGACCACCTCCAGATTTCCCTCAGTTTGATGGAGAAAGCCAGTTTATTAACAAGGGGCGAGAGGGGCATATAACCAGCGCCGAGGGCCGCTGTGCAATGGGTCTCAAACCATTTGACACATCAACCTCTTCGTTATCTCCAGCGGAAAAGGAAGTATTAGTCAAGGCCAATGCGATCTTCGGCTTGGCAACATAACTTGTGTTAGATTAGGCATGTACGAGCAGACTGGTCATCTTGAAATCAATCACAATCTTCGAGTAAACACATGATAAGCGCCTACGACGTATCGGCGCTACATCGTGAGCTACTGCCGAATCCCGCCTTGATCATCCTCCTAATAAAATATGTCTACTAGCGGTCGCACAAAGTTTACTATAGGCTCCCGCGGGTCTCAGCTAGCTCGTGTTCAAGCTGAACTCGTTCAAAATTCTCTCGTTGGGCTCCATCCGAATAAAACTTTTGACATACACTACTTGACTACCGAGGGGGATCGAAACCAGTCTCAATCACTCTATCTTCTGGGCGGAAAGGCGATGTGGACAAAAGACCTGGAAGTGGCACTATTCGACCGTCAAATCGACATGATCGTGCACAGTTTGAAGGATGTGCCAACACTGCTACCAGAGGGGGGCGAAATCGGTGCCATAACACAACGAGAGGACCCACGCGATTGTTTGGTTGTGAAGGATGGTTTATCATATAGAACTCTCGAAGAACTACCGGATGGAACCGTAGTAGGAACGAGTAGCGTACGGCGTGTAGCGCAGTTGAAGCGAAAATTTCCGAATCTGGAGTTCAAAGATATAGTGCGTACAAAAGATTGTTGCATTTATCCAGCTCTAACGTGACGCAGCGAGGCAACATGTTCGTTATCGTCAGGCTCACTTATTTGTTCAAACTCACTCTGTTTTCAGCGATACCCGTCTCAAAAAGCTCGATAACCCTGAAGGGCCTTATTCGGCAATCATCCTCGCGCGAGCGGGACTTGAGCGGCTCGGACTTGGTTATCGGATTACTGCTACGCTTGGTGCACCTACGCTGTTACATGCAGTGGGCCAGGGCGCTCTAGGCATCGAAATCCGCGCGGATGACACAGAGGTTCGGGAGCTACTCGCTCAAATTGAAGACTGGCGCACCGCTTGGTCGTGCAAGGCCGAGCGAGCCTGCCTACGAGTCCTAGAGGGAGGCTGCAGTGTACCCGTTGGTGTCACAACACTATTGGAGGAGCACGAAGACGATGCGACTGAGCAGACCGGCGAAAGTGTCAAATCGATGCCGCGGCCTTCCAAGCTCACCCTTACGGGCACGGTAACGACTCTGGATGGGTCCAGACACGTGCAACATACCATCACCACTGTGGTGTCATCTGCCGAGCAAGCTGAAGAAATAGGTCGGGATGTTGCCAGAACTCTGATTGCCAGCGGGGCGAGGGAGATTCTCGACGATATTAACCGCGAGCGGGAGGCGAGGGTGCAGCGGGAGCGCCAGAAGGACGCAGAGCGGGCACTGCGAGGGTAATAAGATATATCCTAGGAGATAAACAAGTGTATGACGCAATGATGTACGGATGTCAGCTGACAAATATAAATAACGGTCTCACGGATAACCCCTTGCTCCCAACCATCACGCTCGTATCGGGCCTCACAGTGTGAACACTCGCCTGCCTCATTGTGTACCCACGATGCCTTCATCGCACCAGCCTCAGCCACCTATCCTGTACTCCTTCGACTCGAGCACCGCGTTGATCGATTCGCTAGCCAAGTTCATCGTCAAGGCTCAGGCCGAGGCAGTAGAAAAGAAGGGCAAGTTTACCGTCGCGCTGTCGGGAGGGTCGCTTCCAAAAATGCTAATGGGGTTGGCTGGACGCAACGACCTTCCATGGGACAAGTGGTATGTGTATGCGCCCGAGTGTTAGGGTCTGGCTGAGCACAAGTCAAGGTACATCTACTTTGCTGACGAGCGCCTCGTACCGCTTGATCATGAAGACTCGAATTATAGACTGTGCAAAAAAGAGTTCCTCTCACGCACCCGTATCCCCGAGAAGAACATTCACGCCATCGATACAAGCCTCTTGGATGATGCGGAAGAGGCGGCAGACGCGTACGAAAAGATTCTTATACTCGAATTTGCGCAAAAGGACTCGGCTCGATTCCCCGTATTTGATCTCATCCTGCTCGGGATGGGACCTGATGGGCATACATGCTCGCTCTTCCCCGGACATGAGCTGCTTACCGAGAGCGACCGTTGGGTCGCTCCCATCGAAGACTCTCCCAAGCCTCCGCCGCGCCGCATCACTTTTACGTTCCCAGTCTTGAACCACGCTTCAAAGTGTGTCTTTGTTGCGCCGGGCGAGGGAAAGCAAGAGATGCTCAAGCAGGTCATTGATCATCCCGAGGAAGGGCTTCCGTCCTCTCGTGTCCGGCCGATTTCTCCTGGGCAAGTCTACTGGTTCGTAGATGATGCTGCGTCGACTCGGGTCGAGTACACCAAGACACCGTTCAAGTTGTAGACAATGTTTCTCTAGTGTACATGAATCAAGATAATGTCAATTGACCTGCATATTGAAGCCTGCAAAGTTGAAGATTATTAATACTGTAATGCAGGCATCATCCAGTTTCCACCAACTGACCCTTGATCGCGCTTTTTGAGGGCGCTTAGATGTTTTTGAGAGGTATTTGGCCACAAACATAGAACTGAACCTGCAGGACTGCACAATCCACTTTCCTGGAAACCAATTATATGTACATGTATGCAAACAACATTCAAAGATTTTTGTTTTGGTGATTCTTTGAGTTTGGCCTCATTCATAAGGCAGTGACCAAATACCTCTCAAAAATGTCTAAGCACCCTCAAAAAGTGTGGTCAAGGGTCAGTTGGTGGAAACTGGATGATGCCTACTCTATGACTGGTGGCTGAGCTTGGGCCATGAGTGAATATCTAGGAAGGGCTAAAATTCATATTGTTTATAGAGGGGGTTCAAATCCCACAGTCATCATAAATTTCTTTTTTGCATAATAGGCACCTTCTGCACCACCGATTATCGGTATCGGCGATTAGCTCCATAGCAATCCGAGTCTTATTTTTTGTAATCCGCTCCAACTAATAATCGGTTGTGCAGAAGGTGCCTAATGATCAAGTACCCATGAAAAAGGGTAATTTTGGCACAGTTTGGGTCAGGAAAAATGTCCAAAAAAGGTATGATGGCTGTGGGATTCAAATCCCACAGTCGTCTTTTTTTTTGCATCCTGATCAAGTACCCATGAAAAAGGGTGATTTTGGCATAGTTTGAGTCAGGAAAAATGCCCAAAAAAGGTATGACGACTGTGGGATTCGAACCCACGCTCCGAAGAACCAGATTATTACGTGATAATTACATAACCTTAGTCTGGCGCCTTAGACCGCTTGGCTAAGTCGCCATGTTTTGACTTGAACCATGAGTGCATATATTCACCGTCACGTGCCACACTGGTACTCATGTAAGATTGCGACACGTAAACACCATAATTCCTCACTTGACCTCGTCCAAGGCTGATGCTAATCAACTAGAATGCATGTCTACTCTTTGGAGCCTATTGCCCTGATAACTGCTATCGCGTTTTGGATTGTATTTCACCGCAACAAGTCCCCAGTTCGACGCTCTATTGCTATCTTGGTACTCGGCGATGTTGGAAGAAGCCCACGAATGATGTACCATGCTCACAGCTTGGCCGAGAACCAGTTTGATACATACTTGATAGGGTACTCTGGTGAGTATTCGCACATACCTGCAAAACGACACTCACAAGGTTGCAGGTTCTACATTAATCAAATCTTTAAGAGAGCTCCCAAACTTGACCATGTTGTCTCTTACACCCCCACCAAAATTCATTACCTCTCTACCCCGGCAACTCTTTGTACTCGCAGCCCCGCTCAAGCTAGCAATTCAGGCAATGTCGATTCTCTGGGTACTATTGAGCATTCCGGCTCCAGAATACGTCATGGTACAGGTGAGCTGCCATCTGCCTGAATCTAGAACAGGCCATTGACATGTTTCCAGAATCCTCCGTCGATTCCTACCCTTATACTCGTCCAATTTGTGTGTTGGCTACGGCGCTCCAAGCTCGTGATTGATTGGCACAACTTGGGGTACAGCATTTTGGCTCTGCGTCTTGGGAATAAACACACATTGGTCAAACTGGCTAAAAGGTGAGTTGCTGTTCGACACTGTCTTCCCGCTACCAACAAACGTAGCATCGAGCGTACGTTTGGGCGACATGCATATCTGCATCTCTTTGTCACCGACGCAATGAAGGACAAGCTAGTCAAGGAATGGAAGCTCGTGTAAGTTTAATCAAACCAACGCCAACTTGCTGCTGACCACTTGCAGAGGCAACACGTTAACCTTGCACGACCGGCCCCCATCACATTTCCGACGTTCAAACCCAGCTGAAATCCATGAAGTAAGTCGACAAATACCACGACTCTTTCACTAACATATCCTTAGCTGTTCAGCCGACTTCAACCTGCATTACCAGCATCCGTCAAATCCTTCCTACCAGATTCGAAAAGCCCTAGCTCTTCTGCATTCACAAAAGTCACGAGTTCGTCCTCGGCGTACGACCCCATATATGCTGTCTCATCTGGTGTAGCCCTTCGCGACGACCGCCCCGCGCTCATTGTCAGCAGTACATCCTGGACTGCCGATGAAGATTTCTCGATATTATTGGGTGCACTCACGAAATACGAACAGCGTGCGAAAGCGGGTGGGCTGCCCAAGCTCCTTGCTCTAATCACCGGCAAAGGTCCCTTGAGAAACCTGTACATGACAGAGGTTGCGCGACTAGAAAAGGACCAAAAGTGGGAGTGGGTACGCTGTGCCAGCGTTTGGCTTGAACCAGATGATTATCCCATTCTACTTGGTACGTCGTTTGTTAAAAAATCGGTCGAGGTATTCACAGGCCGCCCAGGTTCGGCAGACCTGGGTGTATCCCTTCATAGCTCATCTTCCGGCTTGGACCTGCCGATGAAAGTAGTGGATATGTTTGGCTGCGCTCTTCCCGTATGTGCACTAGATTTTGAATGGTATGTATCAAGCCTCGTCCTCTGCCACATGCTTACGCCTAAACAGCCTCGACGAACTGGTCAAAGATGGGGTCAACGGCCTCAAATTCAGAGATACGGGTGAACTAGCAGAACAACTTGTGGTAGGTGGCTCTACGTACCATACCCAACTCAAGTCTAACCCAATACAGAACTTTTTTTCGCACTTTCCGGAAACGAACCGGCTGGATGCTTTGCGCCAAGGACTGAACAAGCGAACGCGCATATCTACGCCCTCGGGAATGACCGACGAAGGCCAACACCTGTGGAATGACTGGACGGACAACTGGAACGCATTTGTCAGGCCTATCCTATTACACGACACCGATCACACAACACGCCATGCCCTCAACACCCTCTCTGAGCGTACAGTCTCGCAGCGGCGGTAGTAATTCTATGTATTAGAAAAATATACATGTTAGATCTAGATGGATCAAGCATTTGCCGCAAAACTGAGCGTTTCAAGCCGACCAGATCCTTTCAACTCTTTGTCCGATTGGATCAGCTCAGTCAACACGCGGAATTGGCCAGGGTCGATAAGCATGGTCTATTCGAGACGTTAGATCTGAACTAGAGATCAAGAACGGCACTTACCACCTCCCACTCCTCGCCCCAGTCTTCGTCCTCTACCTTGTCCGCACCCTGTAGTATTTGTTCCTTCAACCGTTTGCCGTCTTTTGAAGGCATTGTTATCCTGACGCGCATCCGAGCTCTCTGGATAGGAAGCGTCGAATGACTCTGCAGATGTTTGATACACTCGAGGACCTGCCTTCGACTTAGAATGGTTTCTACACTTCCACACACCGGACTCACCTGAGCCTTGGCATTCTTGCCGGTCTTGACGCTGAACCCGGCCTCGGTCATGGCCTTTTCTATAATCCCAACAGGATATGGTCGCTGTGTCGAGGGGTCGACACACTTTTCTGCCACCTGGGTCGCAATGTCTTTCCAGAGTTGCGAAGATTCATGTGCTCGTTCCTTGTCTCCGACCTGCAATTCGCCCTTTTTCAAGATCTAGGCGACAACGCATCAGTCAGGAGAGCGATTTGTGGCTTGCTATGCTCACCTCTTTCACAATTTCCGAAATATCGGTTTTTCCAAACGCTTTCTGCAACTCTTCCGAGTTGCATGCCTGGCCTTTAGAGACGTTGAAAAAGACATTGTTGATTTGCAGTACTTCGTCCAAATCAGTTTCCCTATGAATTATAGCGTGAGAGGATGTCGTACTAAAGCGGGGAGCCAACTCACACTCCGTTCCTCCACTCTTGTACTTTGTTCTTGTAGCAAGCAATCTACAAATATTTAGAATCTAGTCGCTTCTCTCAACGGTGGCTTACCTCGAATCTCTTTCCGCCCTTCTTTAATCGCACAACAGACACGTTTGTAAGCCTAGTAGAGACCTCAGTATTGAACATGCCGCTCAGCAAATATAACCTACTTGATCTGGTTGGAAGGCTGGTTGACCCGCATTTTGGTGGCTGGATGGGGTGTGGTGGCTGGGAGTATGACGAGACAGACTTTTCTTGATTGATGTGCAGAGCCACGTGCGTCGCTTACATCGGCACCGAGATGACTGAAAGTGCAGTCCGAACTTGGGATACACTGTGAATACATGCAAATGGGTATACTGCATTACACTATTATAGCTTGATAAAGCTTATGTCCAGTCCCGAGCTAAAGTCCCAAATACATATTTTCTAAACCCAATGTCAGTGGGGGTATCGACGGACAAAACAACCGACTCACCTGATCCTCCCCACAAGAAACAATCTACAATGCGAGTTGATCAGCAACCATATGGTAAACGATCGTGTGACTCACCTTGGTACCGTCGAATACAACACCAAAGACTCGTCCCGTGTGCCCGCCCGTCAAGTCAGCCAAGAGCGCGCCGGTTTGGCGGTCCCAAACCTTGATGGTTTCGTCGTAGCTACCACTTACCACAAACTCACGGTTCATTGCAACCGTACGGACCAGGTCCTTGTGTCCTACAGGCTGCGTTACAACCGTGCCAGCTCCATTACACGATTGGCAGATTGTCCCTGATGCGAGGGGCAAGGGTGCGCTTCGAGACGGGGCAGGGGGAGTAAAGCTCATCCCAGAGGTAAGTGAGGCTGGGAGGTTGTCCGGTAGTTTGGGTAGCGAGACACGGGTAGTGTCGCAACAAGTCGACCACCCTTCGCGAGTTTGGAGATTAAACACGCGAACGTATTTATCGGACGAGCCAGAGACGATATAAGGAGGGTGGAAGTCAATTGAAGCAATCCTGTAGAGTATGATTAGCTACGGAATAGAAGGACATCGGTGTGAGCCTACCCTCTCGAGTGCCAACCCTCAAGGGAAGCTACAATAGTTCCTTTTACTGTGTCCCATATCCGGACGCTGCGGTCTCCAGAGGCGGATATCACAAACAATCCATCAGGAGATAAAGACAGGGCATTAACAGCTGCACGATGTGCCGTTAAAGTATGAACCAGCTGTAGGTTGGGTAAGGAATAAATGCGCAGGTGCCGGTCTGAGTAGCGACAGATTAGTGATGCTCCCCAAAAGCCAGCCCGACTCACCCTTTCCGCATGCGACCACAGTCCGAGCACTAGCTCTAACGCACAGCACGCTATCCTCGGTATCCCGACGAGCCACATGCACTGTTCCTTCAACCAAGTCCCATACTACAACCTGACCGTCCGATCCCCCAGTGACCATCCATTTGTCTGCCACGGCCAAGTTCAACACGCTCCCGAAATGAGCACCCTTGAAGCACCGTACGGGACGTGCTACAGCCAAGTCCCACTCTAGTATCGT